TATATATAAATTCTTCTTTGTATATATATATATATATATATAAATCCCTCTTTGTATATATATGTGTATTTTTCCGTTGGTCGGCCATCACCATTATCATTATAACCATCATAATAATTTTCAGGCCATGTTTTTTCGTGTTTAATCGTTTTATGCCTTTCATTTCACACCTTTGTAAAGTGATCCCAACAATGGCATAAGTCCATTATTTTATTGGACTATCAGTATTAGCTCACTGTTGTCGCATATTTCGACTGAAGATTATCTGATGCCTTGGTTGCAGAAGGTGTTATCTATGGAAGCCGTTTGCATCTTATTCGTATAGAGTTCTTCGTATTACGATAATCCTTTGCCCTGGATATTGCTAAGATATAATAACACATTATTTTTGTTGTTGTATTGTTTTTCCTGCTGTTTTCATTATTATTATTATTATTATTTATATTACTATATTTATATTATTATTTTTGTTGCTAATGACTCGACATTTACCTTTTATTCATATATATCACATTTATCTTTGAAATCGCCCCCTTACCTCTACCGGGTGGCCGGTTTGGGGGCGATTGAAACGTAGAGAAGAAGTTTGTCGGTGTTATCATGCTATACATCGAATGCACCCCGCGTATTCTGTCTTAGTACCTATGTATATCTGCACAACTTGTGCTTTGTGTGAATATGTGGCTCTGTTTATCATCTTTTATTGTTATCATCATCATCTTCACCTATGTTTGTAGACTCTAATAATAGCAACGGGTTGTTCTTGTTGTTGCTGGGGAGGCTGGTCTTGTCATGAATTTATCTGACGACACAAAACTGATTTGGTATCCCTTTTCACGGTGCTTCGGCGTTTTCTGAAGTTTTGTGTTTCTCAATTACACCCGAGGGCGGATGATATTGCAGGTATATTTACGTTTCTTTTCGCATCTGTGCGTATTTATGTGTATATATGTGTTGTGTTTATGTGTTTAAAAAAGGCCGGAAGATGATCTGCGGAGATGAGATGGGATGGGATGGGATGGGATGGGCCCCCACAGGATGTCTCCGTCCATCTTAGGTTCACCTACAATATACTTGATATTTAGTACGTCAAATTGTCGATGTCCTTTATTATTTTTTTACTAAGGCCAGATGTCGGGACCTTTCGAAGATAAAGTAATCACAGAATCGATTGTTCTGTGAAGTAATCAAGTAAGCGGCAAGATATTTTCTACTTGACTAAGTGTGTCACCTTGCACCTTTACTTATAGGCATATCATAAAGAGGCATGATATGCTTGTTACTTCTCGGATGAATGTAACAGGACATGAATCAGCACTCGACACATGGAGGCTGGTCACATATTATGTATCTGCCGAATGACCATCAGATGACCAAGACGTAGTGATCATCAGCTGATGGTGGAATGGCTTATACGCATCATCTTTAACGTTACACGTACACAAAAAAACGGACGTTCTTATGATGGTTGGTTGGTTGGTTGGTTAGCCCGATCGTGTTTTACAGATCTATGGATTTTGATAACGTTACTCTTAAGCTATAACGAGTTCAGAATTACTTATAGAAGCGGACAATGCCTCTTCGTCATTACGGTTAAAGCGGTTCTTGCTGGGCTATTCGATTGCGGTCACGGTCCAGTAACTGACAGCAGGACCTAGCATTGTTGACCAGAGATTTAAATGTATGCGCATGTGTGTGCTCCCATCGATTTAAAAGAGTGCTGCCAACGTGATCGCGATGCTGACAACTGCTAGAAACGCTTCTTCATCTCGATATCTAGCGCCTATGATAGCACAACGTCGATAGACTTCTTGAACCCAACAGTGTAGCATGACAAAATTTCCTTAGATCATATTCTCTTCTTCTAGTTCTAGGGTGCCTATAATAGTTCAGACGCGTCTGGTAGAAGTCCCACAATAACTTTGACTATTCTTGGGCCGGCGTACCAAAGTAGACTCTCTAATTCGTTCTACAAATGACTAATATTTCATTTCCCAGCCAAGAAGCCTATCGCACAGAAAACCCACATTATAGATAGATACTTATCTCATCTATTCAACCTGGTAATAACAACGCATTCGAGTGTACGACAAAAATACTTAGAAATAACGTTGTCCTTAAGGCTAACCCGCAATAATATTTTACCAAATTTTTTAATAGTAACTTGATTTCTTTTCTTGGAAGCTACCGCATATGCTCAAAGAATACTGTAAAGCTGTACCAAACTTTTTCAATGAAGTGTCAATATATAATAACAATGATAATACTAGCGATTGTTTGTTCAAAAATGAACGCATAATATTTTACAATCCTGGGGGAAAGCTGGGGATGTTCATAAGGAAGGTGCGTTTTAAAATTATCCGCGTAAACAAAGATGGAGAAATCAGTTTACGTTCCCATAGCTCAGGCATGTTCCCAAAATTTAGAAAATAACAAACAAAAAACCATTTAACGCATTGTTATATATATATATATATATAACAATGCGTTAAATGTTTTTTTGTTTTAGATTATATATATATATATAAAATCGTCGATAAGCCCGTCGATGTAAATTTATAGCTAATTCCCGTAACCCAAATAGAGCTCTGTAAGTCGTTTAGTAACTATTAACTACAAACACGTATGTAGAAATGTATAGACAACTATGAGAAACTACTACTGCGTCAAGTACAGCTGAAGTTGCCTATGTCGTTCAACAGTCATAAACGCGAAATTAATACCAGAGCCGCATCAAAATGATATCAGTAATTGCTGTTAAATGTATGGCACGATCCCATTCGTCTTGGTACTACCTCACCGCTTTGCCTATATATCTTGCCTCTGTGATATGTTTGCGGCATACTTACAGTGCTGTGACTCTAATGAGGTTCGGGGGATCGTCAAAATCAGGGCTGCAACTTCACTATTATCAAAAGATGAACAACGGGCACGTCGGGATAGATCCTCAAGCGCTGGCCGTCCGTCCACCAATTTTTTAGACACTTCCACAGCGTCAATTTATGGGTGACGTCTTGATTGGGTTCGAGTTCCAAATTAAGCTGTCTCGAATACGGCCAACAACAGGACCTCTCCTTAGTCCTCTATAGTGGTTATTGTACCAGCCACCAATGAGAAACTTTAATAGAAAACAAGTCTTTAACATTTGTCAGGACGACACCGTAGCTGTATTTATCGATTTCAGGAGCAAGTATTTTCGGAGAGGTATATTTTGTTTGATCCGATATTTCGCAGCTTGAAAAATTAACTAGTGCAACACTGTGGCTGTCATCGGCCACGATTTGATCAGAACAATGAAAAATATTCAACTCTATCTCTTTCGGCTCCATGATTTGGTTTGCTTACATCCTTCGGAATTTTACTAAAGTCATAGCTAGCAATCCATAAGTTAACTATTTTACATAAAGCTTGAAATTTTTGTTGACTTAGATCGTTTCATCACCCGACGATTTAAGTGAGCTTAACTTAAAGAAGTTGTCCACAAGGCGAAATTCGCTTAATGCTTCTTTTTCTTAAGGTAATCCTCATGAGCCTTCTTGACGATGGCAAGTTTGCTGTTCTCATCCTGGATCGGCAGATCCTTGTATGGAGGGTCTTTTGTGCCATGCACCATGAGCGTCCATTCAAGCACAAATCCTTCGAGGTTTTTTGCAACACTTGGTTTCTCTTGCTTTGTCTGTTTTGTATCGCCTTCCTGAGCGCCAATATGCGCTTCTAGCTGCCAACGCCCCTTCGGGTTTTCGCCCCAAGTATGTGTTGTCATAAACGGCCACTTCGTAAAACCGTCTCTGTGGTCGTCGTCGTGGGGTCGACGGCTCAAAATCATCGACCTGAAACGAACGTTCTTTGAATCAAAATTGCATCGCCGCTAAGCTCTGCCACCCGCTCAACGAACCGAGTTAAATAAATGTTTAAATTTAACGTTTGCTAGCGCGGTTTCGGAGGGCTGGCTTTCAGCATGGAACGGATTGCATCCGCGCCAGGTTTCGAACCCATATCACACCCTGCCCTGCAGTTTAGTATTTTAACAAGTCAGTACTGACCCATCACGAATACTATTGTAACTTAGTAGTTTATTTATAATTACTAATAGCGTTTTAAAAAACGACACTCAAGATCAGAACGAAACACTTTGCTGAGCGCAGTCACAAGAGGGCAATGTATCTGAAACGAAGAACATTCAATCTGGAACCTGTACGCAGATTGCGATGAATCGCACCGCTCTGCGTTCAAATGAGATTTTCATTTTAGCTTAAAAAATGGGCGAACCAATCAGTTATTTCCAGAACCTCGTTCGTTCTCTTGGAAAGAACGAGTATGTCCGTTATTTCGGTCGGTGCTTACCGAGTGCCTGATGGCGACACCAAATAGAGGGTAACCTCTCCCCGTCGAGTTGCGTTTAGACTGAGAACAGCCTGTACGTGCTCTATGTAATTCACTTCGGTCTCCTTGCCGGCACATGCGGTGGTCTCAATTTTTATGGTGGCAGAGGAGCCCTCCGTGAAGCGCCTGTGAAGAAATATAATAGCAAGCAATGTAATTTACTTCTGCAAAAAGTCCTCAACGGAGCATCTAACACTGAACAGTTTCTGTTTATTGTTTTAGTATTCTCTTCAAATATAAAGCGAACTCCTTTTGGGATATTTCTTTCTCTTTAGGCGCTGAATGTTTTGAGCGAGATCGCCGTATTGAACAAGAAAGCCATTGTTTTTGCAAAAGCAAACAAAAGCCTTTACCTGGGTGTGCGAACAGCCCCGGCTTCGCAATGGTATCTCGGCGGTACGGTCTTCCACTCAGTTGCCAATGCTACCATTGCTCCTGCATCCATGACCCCATAGCCAAACAAATGGTTGAATTCTAGGCCGACACCGTTCATTTTCCAGTGGAATCGCTTCTTAGCATCGTACAGAGAATTCCGCTTGGACGTAAGGACTGTCAGATGTTGGACGTCGCGCCAAGTCAACTGAGGACTAACGGTTCGAAACGAAGCACACGACAAATGCGCATTACACATACGAAAATTTAGAGGAACGATTGAGATCACTTCATTAATGATTTGTTAAAGACCTCTCATAAAACACGTGTTACCGATTTAGGTGACACAAACTCTATTCGTTTGCTGAATGCTGATACAACATTTTGATAATGTATCGGGGTACAGTTTGAGATGGACGATTGTTGTTAATGAACGGTCAAGTGATTTACTATATTTGTAATGTGGCTAATTTCTAGTTCGACTACATTCAAAGCATCGGGACTAGCAGCGTTCTTGTTGTGCCGTTAACTAGTCCCCAACTAAACCGTAGAAGACGGCGGCGCTTCAGAACAGAATTCCCTTCGAAGACAATCTATTCTGGTTGTGTAGTTGGTCCATTGCGCAGAAACGGAAGTGGCGTTCCAGGATATCTCGGGAAAACAACGCTCACCTTGTGGGCTAAGTAGCAATAGAAAAAAAATAATAAAACTAAGACGAACTTAGATATGTAATTTGGTCACCAAGCCTACACGATACTAGGTATCTGTGCCACACAAAAATATTGCATGGGCTTTATTTCTTACTTTGCCTCAAGGGCCAAGGCGAAAACACCGGCAGCCTCAGGAGCGGCAGCTGATGTTCCAGAATGAGTTTTTGTGCACTTCCCATAGAGATCTGTCGTCGCCTGCAATTAAATATATTATAACTATGAAATTAAGTGAAATTATTAATTAAGTGTTGAACTGCAATTATCGGTAATAGAGCAGTTAGCGATTAATTATTTGGCTAATTGATGGGTTACTAAACGCAAAATAACGATCATAGCACTCCAATGGAACAGTATTCTTCAATGGACTTTGTGAAGATTTTCCTATTGCGCAGCAAATGCAGCCAATGACCGCGGATTCTTTTCAAGTGTATTTTGACATAACTTCCTTGCTTCATACGGGAAGCAAGGAAGTTATGTCAACTATAATAATTAACTATTAGATAGATGTGTCGAAACGCTGTTGTGAGTAGCTTATTTTCAACATCATAGCTTCGCCAGCTTGGGGGGCACTTATTGGGGGTCAATCTATTGCCAGACACTCCAGTCCATTGCCCAGACGAGTGTGCCAAGTGCGTATCGGCTGTTGCTATTTATGTATCGTTCGATTTCCCTTCAGCCGCTGTAGTTTTTCATATTCGATGTAATGGATTTGTTTTTAAATCGTTTTTAAATGTATTTCTAAATCTGTAAAACATCTAGTTTGAACATGACGATTCTGCGTGTTAATATTTGTATTCAGTGTAATTAAATTTGTAGTTTGGCTGCACGATAGCAATTTTATTTAATTACCATACTTTATCATACACGACGCTACAGGCGACTCACGGTGCTACACGTCCTGCAATCTTCCTCAGTATCATACAGATTATCCGCCATATTCCGCGAAGATGGCTGAGAAGCCACGGAATTCAAAACCGCCAATAAAGAAAGAAGATACGCATATGGCGATGCATATTTAACGAAGGCATCAGGTTCATCATCACGCTATACGTTTAGCGCAGTCCAGGGGCCACATCGCCACCAGTACGTATAGGGTCAAATGTGGGACCGTATAGTAGTAACTGCGATTAAATTTAAGTATGAGGGCGCCTTCAGTGTTCGATTCTTGCTCCAGTGTGTTTTTATTGGATCCCGACTGAGACCCGGGTAATCAAGCGATTCCCATTCGAAGGTCTCTGTGATGTATGTTTATGCGTGGCGGCCTATCTCCCGTAAACGACTTCTTGTGCGAATGAATGCATTGCTGATTCAGCCCATCGCAACTGGGCGCAGTACTCCCAGTTCTAATGTTGTCACTTGCAACGCTCATCGTTTTCCCATGGTGGGCGTGTCCAACCTGGGTGAAAAGATGGTCCGACGTTTCTACCCCTTACATGGTATAGTACAACTGCCAGCTCTTATGAAGTTACAACGCGGTTTTCGATGGTCGACCGTCTCGAAGTCCGAGAGCCACTTGAGTTAATCGGCGAGCGACTTGCTCGTTTGCTACCTTCGTTTTGATCAAATTTCTAGAATATGCAAACTTTCAACAGAATGGGGAAAAAGTCTCAATTGTTTGCAACTGCGAAGTTTTAGGCACAAGCATCATTGCCAACATTGCCAAACTCCGTAATTGCCCTGATCCAAAGACGTCGGCGACGTATGTTATACGGAATTGTGGTCTTATTAATTTCTATTACCTGTGGATATTGCTATCAAAAAGCTCGTATTAACCGCTTTTTCCACTAACTCATCTGTCTCACCTGGATCTCGACACTTTACTCCATGGTGCGTATGGCAAGCAGATTGGCAGCCAATCCAGGAATATTTCGACACTGCTATTTCTGCTATATAAATAAATTATTTTTTTAGATTTCGGAATACCTGAAGGAGTCGATTTGTCTATCGTAACGAAATGGAGCTCGCTTAAAAGTTTATGTAGGTGACATTCTTTTCCTGATTTTATTCGGGGTACATCCCGTTACATATAAACTAACATCTGGACTCTATTTATCGTAATAGCAGTTGTTTTTTCTTGTTATTCCAATATGGTAGAATAATACGTCTTTTACAATATACACACAAAATACAACGTCTAATAATAATAATGATGCCTTTACAGAAGCCACAAGGGGACAGGTCCACTCGTGTTTCGAAATGCTTTGCTATTCAGCCCTGTGTAGGCTACAATCGCCTTATCCTAGATATAAATATGGAACCCACTGTGCTTATTAACGGGTTACGGTTTCAGTCAAAGCATTACTTTTGACTTTATAGAAGCAGTGCTTTATGGCTGTACACTGTGCCCCCATCGTAACACGCCCTACAACGATGCAAATGTATCCTACTGCCTCTCAATGTAATCAATTCATAATGAAATCAGTGGTCGTCGCTATTAATTTCCTAGGCAAGCAACAGTTTGGTACAATTAGCTTCATAGGTACTTTTGTATGGTAGTGATGCTATAGAAAGGGCTCAAGGTAACACCCAGTTAAAGCCGCTCATAAAAAGCAGGGAACAACATATGATACAGAGCTATGGTTGGGCGAGATCGCTTATACTACCGAAACGACAACTACTAGGAAAATAGTTTCTGGCAGACGTGAAACAATGTAAAAAAGGAAAATGAAGAAAAATAGGTGACGCGGCTTCGTTTTGTGGCAGGTAATTACCACAGCAAAATATTAGTAAGCATTAGAAAAGAAGAAGGAACCTTCACCTGAAGCTTGGCAAAGGACATCTACCCAAAAACCTTGCCTTTATAAGACCGTCTAAGAAATTCGAGTTGTCTTGAATTGGATCCATTGTATTAGTGATTTACCTACACCTTTATCAGATTGCCCGGAACTGCCAAACACACATACATTTTAAAACCTGCGCTCACCCACACTAACGCTGATCGCCTCACAAAGTAATCCTGCTAGCCCAGCAAACCTCGTAAATTGGTCATTTTGCTCTCACCCATGTTTAGACCCGAACTTACAACTCTTACCAAATTAACCACTAATGTACCCTGGGGTATGCTTTTCCCTAAGTATTTTCCAATGAGAAGAAGAAAAATGGCAAAAGTGCCTGTACCAATATTCAGATGTTTTGGTTGAGGGTATACGCGGATGTGGGGAGTCTCGTAAAACTCTGCATTAAATATTTTTGAAAGAAGGTTTGGAGAAGTGGCTGGGTTGCCGATGTTGCAACCTCGTGGGCGCCCCGAGCTCAACTAGAAAGCGAAGCCTCAGTTTAAAATTCAATTATTCTGTGAATTGATTTCGATCTTGTCAATACGAAGACTTGGTGTTTAAAGTGTGTATTTGGGTTATTTAATATTACCGCTAATTAAATGTAGTTTTAGACATACGATGGAATATTTTAAACCTCACCTGAACACGCAAGAAAAGAGTCGCTGAGTATGGATTACCTGCTTGTGAAATATTTTTTTTTTTTATAAAAGCTAAATGTTGAAAAAATGTATGGAAATAGACGCTATTTCTCTATTTTCTATATAGGTCGTTTCAACGTATAATATGAATAGATAATCTAACGGGACAGTCTTTGACGATGGTAAAGCCATCACACCAATCGAATGAACGGTTGGTTAGGGTCGTTAATTTTTTTAGGCAGACAATATTGAGTTCTGGAGTTCACAAGACGAGAGAAAGATACACACTTATCCGTAATGTACAATCATTATCCAACCGATAATAAAACAATCTGTGAGGCAAGGTCGTTTGTATTTTCTTGAATAACTTTATTATAAGCACAATTTAGATGGCAACATTAAAGCAAGGGAGGGGAGAGGTGTTGAAACGTAGTACGTGCGCAAGAACAAGGTGTTGATGATCTTTTTCTGTGTTTCGAAGAATCAGAGACTGGGCGAGGTCGATGAACGTATATCGATATATAGATATAAATCGCGTACGTAACACATTTAACAGTAGATTTGTGCATAACGTTGTGTGGCTTGAGGGCCATACGGAGCCTTCACTCATGTGTGTTCTGTCTATGAGTCTTTCTCTAATATACGTATGTGTATTTATACTAGCGAAAATAGTAAGTATCTTCATAATGAAATACTAGTAATTTTACTCATATATCATTTGTGTTTCTCATAAAAGCTCATAGGGAGAAGGGGAATATAAGTATCATGTCGTTAAGATTATTAGTTTGTACTTTTGTGTCGTTACTGCTTTATTGATGATTTTGACACGTTCTTTTTTTGTTAATTGTACTATATATATATATATATATATATATATATAGCCACATCACCAACATACCGTTCGGATCGTTTTATTAATCATCTCAAAAATGAGTAGGCACCCATTATAAACGCTACACGTATGAACGCATAACTTTCTGCCTCACACATGTCATCATACAGCCCTGTATTCGTTAGATCGGTTTAAATACTCTATATTATGGTAATCCTAGTGCATAATTTTTAACAAGTGCAACGCGGAAACAATTGTCCGCATCACCGATCCAACGCTTGAGTTTGTTTTTAGAGGTCAGAGCATAGCCAAAAGTTTCAACTCAGCATTTCGTATCTTACACAGTAAACCTATTTATCTTAAAGATCAACATAGATTGAGATGGAAACTTTCAGTATTTGGATGTTAGGTTTAATAAGCTTTAAGCGTTTATCCTTAATGGACCATCCTTTGGGGGTATGGCTTGGAGGTAGTCTATATCGGATAAATACAACGGCACCAGAGAGATGCATTGCACCTCACAATAAGGTTTAGGCATAAATCAAACTTACCACTCCGGTATGAGGATCTTTCGCGCCATTGGAGAACGTCGATGCAAGAGTCGATGAACAACTCTCATCATAATGAGCATTTTCTCCATTGTTAATAGCCGAGTTAATACTGACTGTCCACATCGAGGCCGCGTATCCGTCGCAGTTGCAGTCGTCTTCCTCGCCACCGTCTCCGGAAGCCCACACGTAGATGTTGCCCAGACCACGACGTCCCTTTATAATGACGAACGAAACAACAATATTCCAATATTTGAACAAATGTCTAAATACAACCCGGTCATAACACAACGCTTTCTTGAACATAAGGCATCTATCTGGTCTTTCGAGGACGCACAGTAAATCGTTATAAAACGCATGGACTGACATGGACACTGCAATACGGAGTGATAGAATGGACTGCTCACGGTTTCTTGTACCAATCGCTAATTTATCACTATTCAATAGTAAGCAAACTATAGTCAATGTATTGCTGGCTTCGCTTTAATCCGTAGGTACTATTCTCCCTTTGTCAATCCATAGTGCTCTTTATGTACGAGGAATTGCTAACAAGCCCGAAAAAATTGTGGCAAAGGGTTCCTCGATCTATTGGCCCTTGCCGATAGGTCGGACTGCCACTCGCATTATCCTGCATTAGCAACTTAATAAAGACCTAATAGTAGTTTTTTTTTAACGTATAGATCGTTCGATAGGATATCTGGACAAATCGAAATGGCCCTAACTGGTGCGTCGTGGGTGCTAAGGCAAATATGCCAATAGCACTTGTCGGATTCCAGAAATCCTAGTGGCACCTCGATAGGATAGCAAATTCTGAGTAACCAGAGCTGAGATTCTCTTTGGCTACGACAGTATGACTACGTCGTACTAAATTTGGAAAGAATGTAAATCTCATGAGCACCAGAGACACTCTGACTTAGATCATCTTTGCAGCGGACAATAAACAGTGTACGAGCTGGAAGAGACACAACAATGGTTCAAGTTCGGAGAGTGCCAACGTACTCGTTCTGTGTATGTGGGCTGCAGTTGTTAGTAGATTAGTGGAATATCTCATAACGACTTACTTCATTAACGCCTCGGACAATTGCGCGCATGGTAGCATTGCGCGGTCCGTCTACAGTCTTGCCATCGTCGGTAGGGCCCCAAGACGCCGAGTAAATGTCAATCAGGTGGGGCTCGTGACCCATCGAGTTGGCTTCGATGAGATCAGTCATGTATGGTTGGTCCAACATTCGAATGCCAGCCACCTGGAAAATGTCCGTAACAGCCCATTTACAAACGACTCTCATAACGAAATACAACTGTCACTGCGCGATGGTGACTCTAATTTTTTGTTCACTTCGGTCTACTTGTACGATTGCATGACGCTCACTAGTTGAATGCTGTGTCATTCTATAGGTAATTACATACTCTGCTTATGAAATACTAAAGCTAGCTTCTTAGGGAAGCAACATTTATGGGCACTGTATCAACATTGTTAATCACCTTCGAATTATAAGCAACTCCGACACCGCAAACACCGTTATCCCGTTTAGCGGCCACTTCGCCAGCACATCGGGTGCCGTGCGAATTGAACCAGTCATCTGTATAGCGGGGGTAAGGGAACGGATCGTTCCCAGAGAAATCGTACGAGGCACGCGCATTCTGAAATAGAGAGTGCGTATAGGTGGGGCATCTTTTAACGGAAGGTAGACAAACTTGGGATACATATTCCTCTACATTTTTTATTCCTGACACGATACGGACCCAGATTGAGGGTATCATATTCTATTTTCCACCGTTATCTGTTGTCTTTTCGTTCGACAGAAGCGTTCTTTGCTTCTCAAAGCATCTACGGAAACAACGGCTTTTACGTGTAGTGTTTTCTTGCGGATAGGTGTATATGCAAGATCATAAAAGTCAGTTATGGTAGAAGAACCACGCCATACAGAGTGTGAGTTTGTTGAACGATATTCATTTCTCGAAGTGCCTACAAGGGGTTCAGGATATAAAGAACGTGTACTACTTACGTAATTGTCTCTGAGGTCCGGATGCATATAATCGACTCCGTCGTCCATAATCGCTGTTGTTACGTTTTTACCGGTGAAACCTTGTGCCCAGGCCGCTTCCACGTTCAAATCGAGGCGGGGTTTACCACCATTCTGACCGACGTTTTTCTGTAGTTCAAGTGCAACGAGATTCCATAAACAAATCAACTCTTAATAGTATTTGACTGTCGTGTATAAATAGAAATTCACCACATCATTTTGCATGTACGCAAATCAAAATGGCTACCTATTTCAAAGCCTTTCAAACTGTAGTACACCCCCTCCCCCCTGAGTCGCTTAACGTTTGAAGGCAAAGAAGCAATTTTGGTTAACGTCTTAAATCTTAAAGACGACTAGAAGGCATATTACCTAGAGCATAGCGTGGCTCGAGTATTTATGTTGAATTGTTTAGAAATAAAGGTCACACCTTGCGCGTTTTCGAGCTAATACGGGAACAACTTCATTCGCCTTCAAAGTTCCGACCGTCTCTAAGGGTAAATGATGTTTTATTTCCTTGGCGTTAATCAACATTGACCTTCATCTTTAGCTTGAACTTACCTAATGGTCGCATAAATTTGAAGCAATAGAAAAAATGGATCTTTATGGAAAGTGTGCATGCACCCTGAGATGATTAGTGCTGAAACTTCTGGTGTTTTCGAGTTATTCATTTGTCCAAGTTGGCTAAGCTGCATTGAAACATAAAAAACAAATTTGCTAACTCAGACAATAAAAGCCATTTCGCCGCTGACGAAATCTGTCTGAATGATAAAGAGGCTCTATGTTCTATTTATATAAATTGGTCCCTCTATCAGTACTTAACAGAGCCTAACTATTATCTACTATCAGATTATATGGCTTTCAACCAGTTTATTTCACTGAAATCCTCCATCCTTAGTAATTACTTATGCTATTCGCCGTAGATTTAGAAGGCATTTTTCTCGGCACAGAGGTTCTTGCGTCCAATGCGTTGTTGTTTTGTTCCCTTGTTAGGTTCCCTTTAGCATTGTGCGGATTAGCTAAATCCGTGCTGATACACGTGTCGTACGTACGGATATGTATATCGTAGCACCTATTTTTAAACATTCCCGCCTTCTTTTTGTATCCCCCAAGATTATGCGGACAGGGATATATATACGTAGCAGTTGGAAAGTCATAACAAAATCGAAAGGGGTGTTCTGTCTTTTTTGCTTGATGTTAAGAATACTTCCTACATTAGCTAACAGCTGCTATAGCCGAGTAGTATGCATTGGTTTAGAACCAGTTAACTGCTCTATTTTGGTTACAAACAGCGAGTAAATTGCCAGTTTTTACGACCGTAAGCGAAAAATCATACTACGTTGTTTAGGCTTTTAAATACGATCTCCGATGCTCTTGTCTTTTAAGGGAGCATTTAAGATAGATACGTCGCACTTATAGCTTATCCTTCCACCAAGCCTTTTTTATACTAGCTACCTTTATAAACGTTGGTTTATGCGTGACGGCAGGCCGTAAGGCCAGCAGTTGCGGGGGGGGGGGGGGGGGTTGGGTTTTTTTGGGGGGG